TGAGCAGATGGAGTGGCAGGCAGAGGGAGAAGCAGGCTCCCCGCTGAGCAGGGAGACTGACTCAGGGCTGGATCCCAGGACCCTGAGGTCATGACCTGAGACGCTTAACCGACTGAGCCACCCAGGTGCCCCTGGTGGGAATATTATTTTTTGTGATGACCTTCCTCCCCATATTCATGAGGTGGGACCTATATCTCTTGCTCTTCAATGTATTCAGCCATCTGCCTTGTACAGTGTCCAGCAGCTATTCTCAAGTGGTTGGACGGCTCGTTCATAATCATCCGGAGTCATGAGTATCCAGCGTAACAGTTCTGCAGCTGCCCCGGAGCTCCTATTTGCTATCACCTATCTATGTCTGTATGCTCCCAGAGGGAGGGCCCAGGCCTTCTTTTGCTTACTGTTGTGGCTCCAGTCCAATGCCTAGTTCAGTGCCTGTGTGTATGGAGCACCACCTAGCACACCTCCCACTCCAGCCACTACCCCAGCCCCCAGTTCTGTGCAAGCATTCACCTACGTGGTGCAGGTATAATCTGTTGGACCTCACTGGGCCCACAGCGCATAGCTCTCCCTTCCTGCCCTGGTGCTTCTCTGGCCCAAGGTGTGGAATCCTGGGAGAACCCACTTGACTCACAAGAATACACAAGCCAGAGGCCAGGGCATTAATGACTGTGGGGCCACTCTTGGTCCGTGGGGACAGTTACGAGATCCACTTCAGAAAGCTTCTCAAGAGGTCCAGGGGGTTGGGGTCTAGCAGCTCACAGTGCTAGCCAACTTTTTAATGCATCCTTGTGCTGCTGTCTTCCCCTCTGTCCTTTTTCAGTCTCCTGGCCTCTCACTCCTCCCTGGGATCACTTCCCAAATAAACCTCTTGTCTCAGGCTCTGCTTTCAGGGAAATCCAGGCTAAGACATGATGCAACAATTTGTTGTTGAAAGAATGAATGAATAATTTTTGAGCTTCCAATTTTCTCTGCCTTTCTTCTACTGCACTCTTAACCTAATAGTGGTGATGACAATGCTATTATTCTTTTGAGATGGCCCCAAAACATGAATCTCCATATTTTAGCTAACATTAAATTCTGAGTACAAAAGGAGACTTACTAACGAGACTGTCTTTAATAATGATAATTTAATGATAATAGTGGGAAATTTTGTTTTGTTCTCTTCAATTTCTCCTTCGCTAGGACTTAATTTTGACAGGAGGTAAAAATGAGACCATAACCATTGTATGGCTTGCTTTTGTAATGAATACGCTTATAACATATATTACATATATTACAGTCTTATGTAAAATGTGAACATCAAAGGAAGAAGTGCTTTCACTTTTTACGAAAATAAGGCTAAGCCCCCATTAATTACCTCCTTAATCTCCTTACCACCTCCCATTTTTATTGTTATTATGTTTTTTGCTATCATTGATTCTACATTAACATCGGTATTCCTTTATCAGGGTGGTCACACTGTCCTCTCCCAGTACTGTGGATTTAACTAAGTCTATTTATCCCCAAACTTAGTGATCAGTGTGCACACTCCATATGCATCCTGCTGCCTACTGATGGCAGGATTCTGGGATTCCAACTCAGTTTCATCACAGCCACAGTTTCTGTGTTCTGGAGCAAGTTGCTGTATCTTGTTTCCGACTGACTTTTCAGAAACAGTAGAAGACAACATAATAAAACTTAGAAATCCTTAAGAATCCCTATATGCATTTTCCAAGGGTAGTCCCAAGAAAATAGTTTCTATGGTCAAATATATATGAAGAAAGGTTGCATGTTTATCCGCCTGGTAGAGACCAATAATGCACAATAGTGTTTTAAAGGCTCTAAGTCCTTCACTAAAAAAAAAAAGTGGTAATTTATCTTTGCTAATAAATGAATAACTACCTGACTACTGAAATTTTTCTTTTATGTAACACCAATTTTTTTAAAGATTTTATTTATTCTTTGAGAGAGAGAGAGAGAATGAGCGTGAGTGGGGGGGAGGGGCAGAGGGAGAGGGAGAAGCAGACTTAACATTGAACAGGGAGCCCTTGAGGCCTGGCCCTTTCCCAGGACCCTGAGATCATGACCTAAGCCGAACAGCAGACACTTAACTGACGGAGCCATCCAGGCGCCCTGTAACACCAATTTTAACAACCCTTGGAATGAATGTTCTACAGAACATACTTTGGGTTTTACACAAATAAAAGTAACTAATTCTAGGCGAGCGGGAGGCAAGCAGATCTTCTTGGTGCAGTGGAGAATTCCCTGTCACTGTAAAAACGTAAACGGTTTGACAATTAGAAAATGGACCATGATATGAAGCTCTTCGTGGCAAACGGAATTGCCTACAGTGACTAGGTAGGTAGAAATGAGAAAACCAGCCGGGTTGGGTACCGGGCAACCCACATGTGGGCAATGGAACTGGCACTCCCAGGTGCAGTCACCACGGAGCATCAGCTACTCTCCCCATGTACATGCACGGGCCCAGTACTGCCAGATTGTATGATTGCTCATGAAACCGCCTTTCTATGGAAATTGTTCTATGGAACAATATATTGTTCTGTGAACACCCCTCTATTCAAAAATATTAGCTCAATAAAACAAAAAAATAAAAACACTGTAAAGGCCAAACAAAACACTTGGGCAGGCCAGATTTGGTCCATAGGACAATTGTCTTAAGTCCTCACAGTGATGTTCAGAAATGAGTGCCCTCACCCTCAATGATCTAAAACTGAGGATTTGGGAATTCCTGTGCCATGTTTTCAACAGTTGGCCTCCATCCCGATCAACTGGCCACCTCTTATTTTGCATGGCTTCTTGACTGCCTAGGAACCGACTTGATTGAAATATGTGACAAGAGAATGAAAATGCATTGAGTGAGAATGTGAAGGGACCTCCTATGGGGAAAGAATAAGGAATCTATATTGTCTGGGTTTCGATCATCTTATTCTTTCCAGCTATTTTCCACATAGCATGGAGTCATTGCATCGCCATCAAGCTTTCAGAAGATAATTTTAATAAATTCTTCTGTTCAGAAATAGCTTTTATAATTTAAAGCTGTTTTAAGACAACATATAATCGATCCCAACTTGCATAAACACAAGCCACTATGGTTTCAAGATTTTATGATTGCTGGTCTTCTTTAAAACGGGGGTGGGGACAGGAATGAAAATGACTGATGAAACTTGACCAAAACGACATCATATCTCTCCTTTCAGCTTCTTTAAATCTTGCATAATGATAGAGCTTTTGATCATGGTGAGGCAGAGAAGAAGCATTTTAACAGAAGAGCTGGGTGGGTGAAAAAGAAGAGCAGGGCAGAAGGAGTGCGTGGGGTTACCACTCATCTAGGGCACAGAGTGAAAGGCACTTTCCATCTTTTAATTACCTTTTGAAGGTAATTTGACAATGCAACTAATGAGAAACTAATCTTTGGCATCTTGTCTAATCTTGTTTAAATCTTGTTTAATTCCAGAGTTAGTGGGTCATTAATGCAAGCAAATGGGTCATTCCTAGAGTGACAGACTTTCTCGAGTGCTGACCAGATACCAGGCATCATACTGGGTATGGAGATTTAAAAAAAAAAAGACACCACAAGGACCTTGTCCCCCAAGATGTCCCAGGTCAGGGAGGAGAAAACCACATTATTACAATGTGGTAAGTGAGTGCCACGAGAGACAGCTATATCCATGGCGTCACAGGGACATGGAAGGAGTCACCTAACACAGCCTGGAGGTGGGTAGGAGATGGGAGGTGGACAGAGCAGGGAAGGAGTCTACAAGAAGAAGGTAATTGATAGGGAAACGCCATTCAACACTTGTTAATAAAGAAAGTTATATCATTTTAACTCAACATGGCCACGGGAACACTGTGGCCAGGAAGGCAAGTTCCTGAATAAGAGGCTTCTACATTTTAGATGGGTTGACTCTGTAATAGTGCCACACCAAATGAGTGTCAGTCCTCAGCTTTCATATGTAGATTGTTTTTATTATTCATTATCTAAAAGCAACCCTCAGTGACTGTACGCTTACAATCACTGGAGAAGCGGGCTGTGTGTGTTGAAAACTGTCAGACTTTTAGAAGTGCTTGCAATGCATATGTTTTCTCCTTTACAAGTGTGTCTTTATACCAAAACAGTACCTGCCACCTTTAAAATATAACAGAGCATGTGGCTTGTGAGTGTCCTCTTACGTCAAGAACCTCTTAACTATACTAAGCACAGTCCATGCACAATTGGCGTCCGCAGGTGCTGTTGAAATAGATTCACGAATTAGCTGCAGTTTCCATGAAAGTTTTTACTTCATTGACTGACCTCATGTTTCTTTTTAAAAGTAAGACTTTAATGGGACCTTTGAACACCTCTGTGCTGGTCTTACCTAGTCACTGTTGCCTGCTTAAAACCTATGTGTTTAAAACAGTGAACTAGACCCCTTTGTGTCACCTTGAAAAGATGATGCTTTATGTCCACTATCTGAAAATTCTTGGCATATGGACTCTCCTAGCTCTGGCCCTTCCATTTGTTTTAGAGAGTCACTAACAGCTCCTCTTTCAAAAATGACTACTCCCGTAATAAAGATGAGAAACTATTGGTTGTCCCCTGTGACCAATCCCTGAGCCAGTCCTTCTTATAAAGACAAATAGATTAATACGGGTGTGACCCTGATGTCAGCTGACATCTCCAAGCCTCTGACTCCAAGTTACTGCTCTGTTGAGCTGTCCCTCATAGTTCATCTCCATAGCTCTCCTGTCATATTTGTTCTGCACCAACCTGGGTGACTTCTCATTGATTTCCACTGAAAACACCCACCCAGAATAATTATATATAGCGGCCTTTACTGAAACTTTTGTGCCATAGAGAGCATCTACGGGGCAGAAATGCGAACTGCTGAACATGGATCGTTAGGCACCTTTGTTGGTACAGGTCCCTAGGCCACCCTGCCATCAGAAATGGCTCCATCCTCACTGGCTCCCCCCGCCCAGATGAGCGCTCCCATCTTGTAACTCCGCCCTTCTCCCTCAAGACTCCCGCCATCTCCGTGCTTCCCCGTTTTCCAGGCTGCCCTCTCTCCATCTCTGTCCCTCGGGTCCCCTCATTTCATTAGACAGAGGAGCTGAGCTCCTGAGCCTGTCAGCGGACTCACCGAGGAAAGAAATCTACGGCAAGGCTCCCGTGCAGCTCACAGACTCACCGCTGCACCGCCAACGAGGCCAGAAAAAGGACGCGAACAGATAAAGACTCCGCAGCCGGAGCCAGAGCGAAGAGCCCCGGACACCACGGCTGCCCGCACAGAACAGTAGAAGCCACCGCCGGCAGCCCCCAGACCTCGGGTACGGATGCAGAGGCCGCCACCGGCCCCGCGGCCCGTGCTGCTGCTGCTAACGGATGTTACCGATGCTGCTCACCGGGGCCACCTCCGGGCCAGAAGGCCGGAACAGCTTCCTCTCTGCCCTGCTTCTGTGCATCGCTAGCTCCCAATTTCTAATGCGGGGTGCAGGCAGCTGATCAGTCAAACCCATGACGTATGCCCATCCCTGCCGTAGGCCACAAGAAGCCAGACAAAAGCATCCGGCGTTTTCGCTTCTACGGTGGAGACAGACTGCTTCCCACCCAACCTCATACAGTGGGAAGGTAAATACACAACCATCCAAAAGGGGTTCAGATGTCCAGCAGCCGGAAGTAAAAAGTGTCCGTGGCACTTTCCATTGCCTATTTGTCTCCTGGTCTTTCTCTGGCCAACCAAAGAGTTACAATAGCCTTTGCCAAGGAAGGGCCACGTTCTCCATCCTTGCCTTCTAGAACACAGAAACTGTCAGCTTTGTTCTCTGAAACGTTCCTGTCTTGTGCCCGAAATGAAATTGCGTATTTCAGGCAACCTAAATTTTAGAAGCATCAAGGCAGGTGCTCACACCCTTCTCAGGCTGCTGTTTAAGATGATACATCATGATTTATTTTTTCAGGTTCCATTTAAAGAAAAATTTGTAGACAATTTCTGTCCCTAAGGTTCAGTTTTTATTTTGAATAGTTTCTAGTAAGTCCTGGGATTGTAACAGAAGGAGTAATTATAAGGACAAGAGATACTCTGTTGACTCCCAGAGGCTGTGTCTTCCTTCCAAGTTTTCTTTATACCTGCACTAACCATACACCTGCATTGTCCGTATACTCAGTGTCTAATACTAACTACTGGGCACTTGAAATAGGGCAAATCCAAATTTCAGCACTTGAAATGTAGCAAAAGTATAAAAGACAAACCAGATTTTAAAGACTTAGTACTTACTTAGAATATAAAATAGCTCATCATTTTATATCAATTGTCTGTTGAAACTATATTATAGATATATTGAGTTCAGTAAAATATATTATTAAAATTCATTTCACCTGTTCCCTTTTTCCATTTTCTAATGCAATTCCTAGAAAATTTGAAGTTACATTAGTGACTTATATAATGCTTATATTAACTGATTTGCACTCTGAAATACACTTATAATTTTTTTAAATTTCATTTTAATTCCAGTATAGTTAACATACAGTGTATTAGCTTCAGGTGTACAGTATAGTGATTCAGCAATTCCATATATTACTTAGTCTCATCATGGTAAGTGTATTCTTAATCCCCTTCACCTATTTCACCCATTCCCCCACCCAACTGATAATCATCTGTTTGTACTCCATAGTTAAGAGATTGGGTTTTTGTTTTTTTGTTGGGTTTGGTTTTTTGGGGTTTTTTTGGTTTGTCTCTTTGTTTTCCCCCTCTCATTTTTTTTTTTTTTTAATTTCTTAAATTCCACACATGAATGAAATCATTTGGTATTTTTCTTTCTCTTGACTGGTTTATTTCACTTAGCATTATTTTTTTTTTAAGATTTTATTTATTTATTTTGACAGAGAGAGAGAGACAGCGAGAGAGGGAACACAAGCGGGGGGAGTGGGAGAGGGAGAAGCAGGCTTCCCGCCAAGCAGGCAGCCCAATGTGGGGCTCGATCCCAGGACCCTGGGATCATGACCTGAGCCAAAGGCAGACGTTTAACGACTGAGCCACCCAGGCGCCCCTTTGCTTAGCATTATACTCTCTAGATCAATCCATGTTGTTTGCAAGGGGAAGGATTTCATTCTTTTTATGGCTGAATAATATTCCACTGTGTGTGTGTGTGTGTGTGTGTGTATAATTGTATATATATATACACACCTATGCCACCTCTTCTTTATCCATTTATCTATCAATGCAAACTTGAGCTGCTTCCATAATTTGGTTATTATAGATAATGCTGCAATAAACATAGGGGTACATATATCCCTTTGAATTAGTGTTTTTGTATTCTTTAGGTAAATACTCAATAGTGACATTGCTGGATCATACGATTATTGTATTTTTAATTTTTTGAGGAACCTCCATACTGATTCCACAGTGGCTGCACCAGTTTGCACTCCCACCAACAGTGCACGAGGGTTCCTTTTTCTCCACATCTTTGCCAACACCTGTTGTTTCTTGTGTTTTTTATTTTAGCCACTCTGACAGGGATGAGGTGATATCTCAGTGTGGTTTTGATTTGCATTTCCCTGATGATGGGTGATGTTGAGCGTCTTTTCATGTGTCTTCCTTGAAGAAATGCCTGTTCATATCTTCTGCCCATTTTTAATGGGATTATTTGTTTTTTGGGTGTTGAGCTATATCAGTTCTTTATATATTTTGGATACTAACCCTTTATTGGATATATCATTTGCAAATATCTTCTCCCATTCAGTGCCTTTTAGCTTTGTTGTATGTTTCCTGTGCTGTGCAGAAGCTTTTAATTTTGATGTAGTCCCAATAGTTTATTTTTGCTTTTATCTTCCTTGCCTCAGGATACATACCTGGAAGTCGACATAGTCGATGTCAGATAAATTGCTGCCTGTGTTTCCTACTAAGATTTTTATGGTTTTAGGTCTCACATTTAGATCTTTAATCCATTGTGAGTTTATTTTTATGCTGTAAGAAAGTGGTCCAGTTCCATCGTTTTGCCATGTGGCTGTCCCATTTTCCCAACACCATTTGTTGAAGAGACTGCCTTTTTCCCATTGTATATTCTTGCCTCCTTTGTTGAAGAGTAATTGAGCATATAATCATGGGTTTCTTTCTGGGCTTTATATTCTGTTCTATTGATTTATGCATCTTATCCACAAAACATGAATCCTATCTGATAAAAATATTGTGAGGACTATGTTAGTTTGTAAGGAAAAGCACATGAAGTGTACTGTATCAGTTACCTATTGTTGCCTAAATTAGCAGCTTAAAACAATATACATTTATTGTCTCACAGTTTCAGTAGGTCAGAGATCCAAGCAGAGCTTAACTAGAGTCTCTCATTCATGAAATCAAAGTACTTCACAAAGTACTGCACAGTTTGATTAGTTGAGAAGCAAACCTCACAGAACAGCTTCATGTCAGCCAAGGCGACAAACACCATGTATGATATATTCGAACTGACAGATTTTGACATGTTCAAAATACAACATTAGTGCACATTGGGGATCCCTGGTGCCAGAAAAAAGGGTGACAGGGGGGCAAAGCTAGTCCTTAGTAGTTTCACCCTCGTCAATTTTAACTGAAGCACTCTCTTGAGCTTTGGTCAACATACAACATTTGATCTCCATGCCAATGGCTTTGACCAGGGATGGCACATTGTGTTACCCACCTGTCTGTGCTTATCCAGGATGTTCACAAGGGTTGATGTCTCATCTGAAGGCTCAACTGAGGAAGGATCCACTTTGCAAGTTCACTCAGGGATGGTTGGCAGGATCCCACATCTTTGGGGAATGTTGGACTAAGGGCCTCATTTCCTAGATGGCTGTTCCTTGCCTGAGTATTTCGGGTATGACACTGGGCTTCATTAAAGCCAGCAAGGGAGAAAGTCTGCCCTTAAGGTGGAAGTCAGAATCTTTTGTAATCTAGTCATAGAAATCATATCCCCTCGATGTTAAGGTATTCTATGTTTAGAATTAAGTTGCTGAAAGTTAAGAGATTATTTAATGCTATGAATCCCAGGGGACAGAGATCATTTAGAGGTCATTTTAGACGCTACCTACCACAGGTACCTGGTACAGAATAAGTATGTGCTAGCTTTTGTCATTTATGGCACTTATAGTCCAATGAGGGGTTGTTGAACTGTGAAGTGGAAGGGGAAATAGACAGCATCCTGGGAGCAAGTACAATGACCTTAAGGCAGGAGAGAGATGGGGTATATTTGAGGCATTGAAGAGGGCTGGTTTTGCTAGAGTATGAAGATACCATAGAGGAAATCAGGGATCAGGTGGCTGAAAGACACTGTAAGCCAGAAAAGGATCTGGGACTCTATCCTGAGGAAATGGAAAGCTATTGAACTTTCTGCAGGGAAGTTACATGATGAAATTTGAAAATATCACTCTGGCTACATTGCATGAAAGATGGATTAGAGAGAAGCAAGAGTGGACATAGGAAGGCCATTTCAGGGGATTTCACAATGGTCCAGGTGAGAGGTAGTAATAGCTGGGACCAGAATGGTAGCAGGAGGTAAAATATTACAGATTTATAATAACAGGACATGGTGAATAATGAGATGAGGAGACAGAGGTGCAGGGTGGAGAGGATGAGGCAAATGATGATACCAAGTCCACCCTTTAAGGAACTAGATGAGTAATGGCTTATATACTACCAAAGGGAATATTGTAGAAAGAGCATACTTTGAGGGAAAAGATGACTTGAGTCTTGGCAATAATGAATTTTAAGGACCCTGTAGAATATCTAGGATGTATGAGCTCATTTGCCAAATGCAGCTTTGAGAAGTGAAGAGAGTCTAGGATGGCTCTCAAGTCCTTTAACCTGCAAGAGTTGCATAGAAGATCTTTTTCTAGAAAAGGAGAATGAGAAGAAATGACCAGAGCAACTGGAGAAAAGTGAAAACCAATAGGAAAAGAGAATTTGTAGTCAAAGTGATTGGTCAACTGTGTGAAGTAATTCAGAAAGGTCAGGCACTGGCAAATGTCCAAAAAAACGAGGTGACTCAGGGTTATTTATGACTTTGGCACAAGCACTTCCGTAGAAGGGCAAACAGGGGAGCTTAGTTGGATTGATTTGAGGAGAAAATGGGAAGCAACATGATAGAGGCTACAGATAATAAATATGCACAATACATCTGAAAAGTTTGCCTTTGAAGAAGTGGAGAGAAATATGGCCTCATCTGGAGGAGAAGATGGACTAAATTAAAAGCTTTGTTTTGTTGCATTTGTTTTAAATAGAAGAGTTTGCGTGCCATTAAACAGAGGTAGAAATTGGCTAGCAGAGACAGGGTTGGGTGGGAGGGTTAGAGGAGAGTAAGATGAACTGATACAGCAAGGTTCCTGAACAGGTGGTTATATCTGTAACCCAAAGTACCAGTGCAGGGGCTGGGTTTAGAAGGAGGGCTGTTCCATTTTAACAAGGCAAAGGAATAAAGGTTTTAGACTTCTTCCTGTTGGATTTGTAGATTTGGTATTAGAACATTGAATGTGTTCTGATAGAATGGCTTTTATTGCCTTTTTAAGAAATCCTTTCCCTTCAGGTGTTAGGTAGCCAAAGCATTCTAAATCCTTGCTACTCCAAGTGTGGTCTGTAGACCAGCAATATCAGCACTACCTCTGAGCTTGTTAGAAAAACAGAATCTCAGGCCCCACCCCAGACCTACCTTATCAAAACTGATTTTTAACAAGGTTCCCAGGTAATTTCTGTTTACTTCTTGAAGGGCCTTTCCATAATCATATAATCATTATCATAAATACTGATCTAAAGCTGATTTTTATCATACTACTAAGAAGAGAGTTGAATGCCTTGGTCCTTGACTGGAATCAAGGAGGCAGAAACATGAAGGATCACTTGGGAGTGGTCCTCTGTTAGCTTTGTGTAAACCATACAATAAAGAACTTCTTTAACTTCTGACACATTTGAAGCTGGAGATCTATGGGTGAAAACAAAGAATTTTTTTTAAAAAATCAAAATAGTTTTCCCTGCTAAAAAGCTGAATGGAATTTAAGCCTAAGTAGTAACTAAGGTGCTAACCAGCGAGCTGAGAGGTGTGGGAGGACTAGAAGCCAAACATATGGAATCATAGAGTCTTAGAGTTGGAAAGATATCGGGGATGATCCAATGCAAGTGCCCAGCCAGAACGAGAGTCCCTACATCACCCAGTCGTGTGGCTTCTTTTATCTCCCCTCTTCCACTCATAAGGAACTGGCTCCTTTTTCATCATTAGGACCCATTTTCATCATTAGAAACCAGTTGCTATCAGAGTTTTCTTTCCTTATTTTTAATATTGCCCTGGAATTTCCACCCATCGGGCCCAATTTTGGCCATGATAGGCTATAAGAATGTTCACTGAATCCCCTTGTTGCACAACAACCCCCAATACACTTGCCACAGGAGTTTCATCATCCTAAGTCCTCTCTTGGTATTTTCTTCAGATAGTCCCAATATTCACAGCTTCTGAAGTTCTCTTTATTCCAACCACCTCCTTCAGGATGCAGAATAACTTCGCAGTGTGCCAATGGGCAAAGCGATGCCTAACGTATCATCCGACTAATAGTTACAACATTAATTTTCCATGATCTATTTTTCCATTATTGCAGTCTAATATCACTTTTAACTCTTAGCAGCCATTTCACACCCTTGGCATCTATTAAAAACTTGTGGCCAGTTGTAATCCTTTAATTTTTTTGTTTGTTTTCACATGGAGTGTTGCCAAAGTAGATATTTCTACACCTGCGTGTGTGCTAGAGTGTGTGTTAGCCTCAGATCTCTCTGTGGATCACTGGAGAGTCAAGGACTGGTCGCAAACCTGAGTCTGTGAAACTATACCATGACCCTAATCATGTTGATGCCACATGTGAGATATCAAAGAAAGCACCTTGTCCTCCTAAACACGTGCTCCTCTTCTAAAGAACAGCCTATTTATAAACTCGATCTTTTTAGAGGACCTGAGGTGACCAGGCGATTTACCTTTCTAGAAACTCATTTTTTATTCACAAACTTCCCTTCTTCTTACCAAGTATGTACCCTGAAATCCCTGCTTCCAACAATTCAATTCCCACCTAATTAATTTTCTTTTCCTCCCACCCAGGGTGACTGACTCTTTTTTTTTTTTTAAACAACTGAGCAGGCCAAGAAACCCAACCCCACTCCACCAACCAGAGCCCCGCCTCTGCCCCAGGAGGCCTGGAGTTGAAGGCCAAAGAGGGAGAGGGGACTGCAGCGCCCACTCTGTGGCAGGCTGGCTGGGGGAGTGTGGGCTCTGCTGCCTCATCCAGTTGGGACCGCCCAGGGTCGCTCCAGAAATTGCTGCTGCTGGGACTCATCAGGTGGCTGCTGGTGGCTCCCCACCACATTTTCCTTCTCCCTCTCCCTCTCTCTCCACAGATTGCTTCCCAAGAGGAGCCTGCTGCTGAAAACTCATCATCACACGTCTAGACGCCACACAGGAGGGTAAGGAGTTGGGGCCATGATCTCCAATCCCTGTCTTCTAGAATTGAGGGTGCATATGGGTGTGTGGGTGGGAGAGGGTGGAGGTGTCCGCAAGCTCGTGGTGGTGGAGCTATGTCACTGACAGGCAGTCTACAGCCGGGCCACGTTGCTCATGTTCTGGATCTGAAATTGGGAGCCAGCACACATTCTCTCGAAATGTAAGGAATGCCAGAGATCAGGAGAATGTCGTAGTAATAGAAATGCATGAGAGGGATGCCTTTAGAAAGTAAAATTACTTGTCATGTCCATTAAGTTTCCATCTCTAAAGCCTAATGCATGTTTTTCTTCCTTCATTTTATAGAGAAAGGAGGGACAAAGTAAAATTTGCAGGTTTTGTTCACAAAGTTTGGAATTCCATCTTCATTTTTATAGGAACCATGTAAACATTTAGTACGTGATAATGTTTAGATGAAATACAATCAGTTTCAACTCAATTGGTAGCACAAAAATCAGAGAACGCCTCGAATTCCCAGAAATGTTCCTATTGGCAAAATAGAAACTCCCCCTATAAAAAGAACACGTGTTTTACTTAACCATAAAATGAGTTTTTGTTCTCGATGTGCACCCATGCTATCCTGACCTCTGTTTTATGTTAGAAGTGAAACGGTGAAGTGGGAAACCCCCCTTAAGTTGGACTTAACTTAAAATGGCAAGCAGCAGAAGCTGGAGTGTTTCTATTCCCGGAGTCAGTGCTGATGAGCTGGGACAGATGCAGCGACAGGAATGTGACAGGACAGGGGGAAGGCGCAGCTGATTTGCCCCTTTGGCAAGGACACATTCTGGGATCCCAGCTCATTCTGGCATGAGAATGATAGTGACACTTGAGCACACATGGCTTTTCAGCTTGCCCTGTGGAGAGGCTCTCCCAGGAGGCAAGGGGAGAAGGCGGCAGAAAAGAGAATGTTCTTAAATATAAAGTGGCAATTCTTTTCTATAATCAGTTGTAGGAGATTTTCATCTGAGAGCTGTGTCAGGCCAAGAGGAGCTTCTCTCTAGGGTAATTCTTTCACAGGGACTTGCCTGATCCTCAAAGAGAGTAGAATTACGTCACCATTTCTTGTCTGCACCGTCTTCAGCCCAGTGGTCCTGGGTTTATTTTGGGTCAGGGGTCTTTTTCAGAACCTCGTGTAAACTCTAGGCCCACTCCACAGAAGAAGACACATAAACACACATGCATAACATGTTTCATAATATTCTAGAAATTTCCATGGAATTCATGGACTCACTTAAAACCCAAGCAGGGTAGCTAGATAAAATACGGAACACCCAGACTACATTTGAATTTCAGATAAACCACAAACCAATTTTTTGTATAAGTATGTCCCAAAATACTGCAGGAGATATACTTACTCTAAAATATGACTCATGGTTGATCTGAAATTCCAATTTAACTGGACATCTTGTATTTTTATTGGCTAACTCTGGCAACCCAGACCCCGCTGCATGCCTCCCAGGTGAAGAATCCTGTCCCAGTTGGTGTATCTGTATCTGATAGAGTTGATCCTAGGATTCTGAAAAACCATATTGAGGGGAGAAAAGATTTAGGACCAGACTTTGACAATTCTGGCAGCAAAAGCCAGCTGTTTATTCTTAACACTGTGTCAAGTTTTAGAACTGAAAGGTACACATATCCTCATCTGACAGATGTTTAAACTGAATTTCTAATTCATTGATGTTTTGCCATAGGTCTATTAGATGGTTAAAGCAAAAAGAACACTAAAACCCAATTTCCAGTTCTGTGACAACCAAAGAGACATGAATCTGAAAAATTACATTTCCAACCACCCCCCAACACATAAACATACAAAAGACTAGGAAGAGAAAGAGCTATTTTCCTGAAATTTCAACAAAACCCAAACCAAAAATTTTAGCACTGGATCCTTGTGTCCTGTATCCAGTCTTGGTGAATGGAATTACAGTTAACTTTGTGCATAGTTTCTGTATACTTTATAGATAAAAGCCAGACATAAGCCTCTAGCTAAGTTGAACCATATGGAATTAATGTTTGTTTTTAAACAAAAATTGATAATTTCATATTCAACCCAACACTTAAAAGGAAGTGCTTGTGCTCTGATCAACAAATTCATGCAGTATCTCCTATTTTTGGCTTACCCAAAAGTTTTCTATCTTTACTACCCATAACAGGATTAAGAAATCCACAGGTTCTGTTCATCCTCAGATTTGTTTTACATTCGAAAAGGCAATTCTCTTATTTCAGTGTTTGGAGTTACAAAGAACCATTTCATGTTCTCTATATACAAATTTTTATTTGACAACCTCAGGTCTGTGTCACTCAGTCTCTGTCTTCTCATGCTGGAAAGAGCTAACTTTTTAACCTGCCACAGATTTTAACCTACCCTGGCTTTAAGGGAGGTGATTATGGGGATCAGGACTCAATCTGGGTTTGAGTCTTTGCTCCACTATGTATTGCACACTTGTGTGACCCTGGATATGTTTTTAAACTCTCTCTGAATCTTAATCTCTTCATTTGTAAAATGAACATAATATAACCATCTTTTCAGATTTCAGTGATGCTTAAATTAGAAAAAATAAATAAAGTCATGTAAAGTACTTAACCCAGGGCTCAGCACACACAGTAAGTTCTCAATTAATAAATTAATATAATTATTATTTTAATTAGAAATGGAGGTATCAAATCAAATTAGAAATGGAGAATCAAGCCTGTTGTGCTTTAAGAAAAACAGAGAAACAGTCTTGAAACTCTTCCGGCCATGGGCACCTCAGCAAGGCTGTGTGCTCCTCACCACGCAGACCATGACCCCAGTCAAAGCCCTGCCCAGGGAATGGTATCCATGGTGATTGCCCTGCTACCAAGCCTGGAGAATCCCTGAGCAGCTGGCCACAAGGCACTCACTCAGTTTAAAAAAAAGAAAAAGAAAAAAGCTTTAAAAAAATAATAACTAAAACCCTCATCCAACTCTGAATATATAATTGAATCAATAGGAATGGGATGCTTTCAAAATTTATTACTTAATGTCTAGGTTATATCCTAGATTTGTCCAGCCTCAGAGGGGTGACTGATCCTCAGGCTTCTCTGAGGGGTCTGTGGTGTCCTGATTGGAGGAACAGGGCACAGACTAAGAACACCTGGGCAGGTGGATATACAGTCTCACCTCCAAGGTGCACACCTAGGAAAAGGATGTAGTGGCAGCTCTAGTAAAGAAAGATTGAATTTGCGAGCATCTCTGGGAAAATATGGCCACTAGGAAGTGGAATGTAGGCTCTGATTTCAGTGGTCTCTTAAACGGTCTCCTGTTTCTCTCCCTCCTCCTCCCCTAGAGCCAAAGAAGCCAGTTACCTCTACAAACTGATTTTGAGGGCTCTAAAATCCCTCTCTTATTTTAAAAATGTATATATTAAAATATTATTTAAAGTGTTAGTAGGAGCACCTGGCTGGCTCAGTAGGTAGAGCATGTGACTCTTGATCTCAGGGTTGTGGGTTCAAGCCCCACATTGAGCGTAAAAATTACTGTAAAATACAATCTTTTAAAAAATTAATAATATTAAAATCAAATTAATTGAATTAATTGATATTATTTAAAATAGCATTTAAAGAATAAAATGATATATCCATAATAAACAGCTAACCCTTGAACAACACGGGGGTTCAGGGCGCCAACCTCCTACATAATCAAAAATCTGCACATAACTTTTGACTCCCCCAAAACTGAACTACTGCCATACACAATTTACTGGGGAGACAAACTCTTTATGCAGAGATGATTAGGGTCCCACAGCATGTTAAGAGAATATTTGCAACACTTGAGCTCACTGCAATAGCAACAGGAGGTGGCTACAAAATTCTTATGTAGTATAGTATGGACTACAGTTACTTTTATGCAGTTATGACTTCATACTGTATCTTTACATTTGTTCACATTTCTCTCAACTATAAATGGTGCCATGCATGGTCTGTAAGTGTTTGTATGCCTAAGTTTTGATAAAATCTAACTTTTTATAATAGATTTGTGTATATCTTATGGTAGTAAATGATAAAATAGACTAGTATCTAGGTACATTTTATGCATTCATGACAGACCAAACTTTTTCTTAATTTTTCAGTATTTCTAGACTACATAGTTCATCTGTGTTTTCAAATTATTGCAAATCTCCCAAAAAATCTCCAATATACTTATTGTGGACCCACGCAATTCAAACTTGTGCTGTTCAAGAGTCAACTATATATATATATATATATATATAAATATATATATATATATATATAAAGGAAATAAAAAGTGGCAACAGGAAATAAGAGAAGGAAGGCCTGGAAGAACTACTGATTTCACTAGGGCCTCAGATTGTCTTCTCCCTTCCTGGAGATTTCTTAATCCTTCTTGATCATAAAGGAATTTATTGAGTTCAAGCCCTTCCCAGCATCTAATATCCTTTATGTATTGGCCTAATAGGCCCGCCCACTGTCTCCCTCATGACTCAGCTATCTGAGTCTGCCATACCGTGCTGAGTCATGGCTCCCTGCTTCAGCATGAGGCATTTCCTCTACTTCTAATGACCTTCTCCCTCCAATACCCACTCCTCTTAAAAATCCTTTGTTTGGTACCAGGACCAGCAAGACTCCTATTATCTTCAAACCTTCCCCTCCTAACACCACTTCATCTAAATGATCAGAGAACATGCTCTGTATGACTTCAGTGCTTTTAAATTTTTGGAGACATGTTTTGTGGTCCAGCATAGGGTCTATCTTGGTATACCATGTACACTTGAGGAGAATTTTTATCCTGCATTTGTTGGGTGTAATGTTCTAGAAATATCAATTAAGTCAGGGTGATTAATAATGTTGTTCGATAATCTATACCTTTACTGATGTTTTTTGTCTGAGAGACCGTTACTAACATTTTCAAATATAATTGAGGAATTGCCTATTTCTCCCTTTAATCCAGTCACATTGTTTTGCTTCACATAACTTTGAAGGTCTGTTATTTGCACATATACATTTATATTCGTTATATCCCATGATGATTTGAACTTCTAATCATTATGAAATTCCCTCTTCATCACTGGTAATTGTTTTTTTCTTGAAGTGTATTTCACCTGGATATTAACATATCCGCTCCAGTCTTCTTACGTCTACTATTTCCATGGTAAATCTTTTTGTACGCACTTATTTTTTACCTATCTGTGTCTTTATATTTATATAAAGAATCTCTTGTAGACAGCATATATTTGGGTCTTGCCTTTCTTATCCATCCTGAAAACCTGTGTCTTTTAATTACAATGTTTAATACAATAAGTAATACAATTGGATTTAGGTGTACCATTAAATTATTTGGAGGGGTTTTTTTTTTTTTTTTGGTCTCCTCTAATTTTTGTCCCTCTGTTCCAACTTTGCTGCCCTCTTTTGAATTCCATTTAAATTTACCTATTGGTTTCTCAGCTATACTTTGCATTCTTTAAGTGGTTGTTTTAGGGCTCTACTGTCCATTACCAGTCATCAGTCAGATGTGGCTATTGAACACCTAAAGTGTAGCTGGTCCAAAATGAGCTGTGCTCATTTAATATAAATACACTTTGTGTTTTGAAGACTTAGGATTAAAAAAATGTAAAATATCACATTAATAATTTTATACCAATTACATATAGACATTATAATATTCTGTAGATATTAGGTTGAATAAACTATATTATTAAAATTAATTTCACCTGTTTCTTTTTAACATTTTAATGTCATACTACTGGAAATTTTTTAATTGCATATGTGACTCATGTTATATTTCTATTGGCCAGCACTAATCTAGAGATTACAATATGCAAAGTTAAACTCTCACAGCTACAAAAGTTAGTATTTACCACTTTACATAAAATACAGAAACCTTGTAATTGTATAGATTCACTTACCATCACCCCATCCTTTATGCTGTAATTGTCATATGTGCTACATCTAGAAATGTTAGAAACCCCACAAGACAATGTTATCAGTTTTGCTTTGAAGAGTTATATGCATTTTAAAGAAGTTCAGAGGGGAAAAAAAGTCTTTTATATGCATCCAGATATTTATTATTTCTGATGCTCTTCATTCCTTCCTGAAGCTTTAAGTTTCCATTGAGTTTTCCCTTTTGGGATCTCTCTTTTCCAAAATTCCCAGCTCACTTTCCAGAGGATGTGGTTGCCACAAACTCTATCCTCTGCTTCTTCAATGCAGCGATACTTCCTGTTGGAGTTGTAGCTGCCCTGTAAAGTACCAATTGCAGTCTGCTCTTAGGTGAAAAACCACCAAAAAGCCCCCAAAAAAACAAAAAACAAAACCCACCAAAAAACACCCCAAAATCTTGCAAGCATAGGGGGACTCATCCTATGCTATTTCTTTTTTCCAACTCTTGACTCCTCTACAAAATCATCCTGCTTTTTACACTCCCTATAGACCCTTGGTAGTTTCCCCCTACCTCTCCCCCTACCCCCTCTAATCCATGCGCACCCCCTCACTCCCTAGAGCTCCTTCCTAAACTTAAGTGGTCTTTCAGAGGCTGGGGTCTTCCCAACAATACTATATGATATTCCTAAAGGCAGAGTGAGCTAGTCAGCAATTTATCAAACTTAATTAAGGATACCTGAGGATACCTCAATTAAGTCTGATATAGGAGAATAACAATGTAGAAAAAGAAGATTTGAAACTGGAAATCATATATTAGTGCTCCTACAGTTCACCTTTGGATTCTTTTGGAATTCCCTGCTGGTCCTTTGTCTCCTTAGCCCCATCATATTGCTGTGTTCTCGAGGCCAGATTCTCTCTTTTCTCCAGAAACCTCAGAATTACACCCTGTCCCAAGGACAAGAATGATTTGGTACAGTATACCAGTTGTTAAAATAGAGATCCTTCTGTACAGAGTTGGTAAGTGGGCAAATAAACAGCCAAGTAGTTGCTGCCCTGACCTCCCCCTGAATCCCTCCCACCCCTCCATCCTTCTCTGAGAAGCCCCTGGGCCCCACTATTATCCAGCAACTGAAAACTTACACAGAGTCCTCCAGGGAATCCTCTGGAACCCAGCTCCAGAACCTATGAATCCATACCGTTTAGTAGGTGCCCCGTTTTGTCAGTTGTTGAATATTTAAATACCACCCTGTGTGCTGCCAATGAAAACAGGAGTTGCCGCTTATCCACAGGGGAGACATTCCATGCCCCCCGGGGGGTGCCTAAAACTGCAAACAGTACTGAAGCTTAGATATACTATGTTTTTTCCTATACATATATACCTGTGATAAAGTTTATTTTATAAATTAGACACAGTAAGAGATTAACAACAGTAACTAATAATAAGATAGGACAATTATAACAACATACTGTAATCAAAGGTGAACGTGGTCTCTCTCTCAAAATATCTTATGGTACTGTACTTACCCTTCTTGTGGGGATGTGAGATGATAAAATGCCTGCATGATAAGATGAAGTGAGGGGAATGATGTAGGCATTGTGACCATTGACCTTCTGATGATATGTCAGGAGGATCATTGATTGCTTCCTGACCACAGTTGACCATGGGTAACTGAAACTGAAGAAAGCGAAACCACAGATAAAAAGGGGACTACTGTAATCATTTAATGATAGATAAACAGAATATTTACCATTTCAGTCTAAAACATCCATGTTACTCCTCAAGTTCAGAATTTCCTTCAAAATAATGAGTGGTTATGAGCCCTACATCTACATAAGTAGAAACTTCTCCAAAGGGGTTCTTCTAGGAAAATAGACAAGACTTTTCCCAAAGACACATTGGTGCTTCTACTCCAGATGGTAGAAACTGATGCTTAAAAAAAATATATTCTGCTGTGCTTGCTAGTTACTTGTTACCATTTTGTACTTATCATGTCTTGTCTGTCTCCCATAACTTACATATTGTATGGCTCCATCATTTCCAGCACAGTGCTGCCTACACAGCAGGAGGTGTCTGATAACTGCTTGCTGAACAAAATTTTTTAAAATTTTCCCCAGAAAAATCCATCACGGGGACACTTACCACCTAAGTCAAATGCATTTGAAGACTAAACTGATGGTGGGTTGAAAATCTATTTCATAAGGTAAGGTTGCATCTGGCATTGCTTGCAAGAAAGAATGAGGAAGGACAAATGTGCTGCAGTCTGTAAACCAAATATAAATATGAATATGACAATTTGAGCTTAATGAGGAAGACAAAAGCCCTGGCAAAGAGATAGATCTCTGTTTCCTACCTACTTGCTATGCTTCTTCCATGTGGAAAGGAATAAGGACAAACACAATAGAAAGGTTATGAAATTTTTAAACATACATTCCAGTAATTAAATTGAAGGGCCTTTCAAGGGAGATCAAAGCCAAGTTTTACCCTTCAGGATGAACTCAACAGTGTGACTTAAAAGAGACACATACATACACACACCCTTCAATAAACTATGAAACACCTAATACCTAAGTGTCCATCAGTAGGAAAAGAATAGCATAAGTTCTATATATCTTTAGTATGGGATACTATGCAACTATTAGAGAGAATAGTGTAAATTTATATGTGTCCTGATATGGAAGGAGGTACATTGTTACTGCTAGGTGAAAAAAGCAAACTGCTGAATAATAAAGCATAAACATGCTTTGATGTAAGTTCTCATAGAGTGGTATGCTGAAGCTGACTTGTACTGGCTCATGAGAACCAATTGTTACACCTTCAGGAATTTGACAAGCTGGTTGTTAAGCAGTAGAGAGCTTAAAATCAACTACAATAAGTGTATTTGCCCAAAGAAATCCATACCTTACAAATAAGGGCTCCCCCACTCTTAGAGAGCTGATTTATCAGCACACCACTGCTCAAAAATGTGCAGATACGAGTTTGTATAAGCATATCAAATTATCTGGAATAATATATACCAAACTGTGAATTGTTGAATTTACACATACTGATTTTATAATCTTAAAAATGAAAAAAAAAAAAAAAACAAGCGTAATCTCACAAAAAAGTGAATGCTACCATGCTGTAAGTAAAATCCATTGAAAAAGTCCAAGTATTACATTTTCTGATGACTATGCTCAATATTTTGAAAAATTCTAAAACAATTTAATCAATGATATTTTAAGGGCTATGCATGTATTTGCTAAACTTAATATATTTCAAGTCTGTTTAATACTAAAGCTGCTCAGAGCTACCTTAAAGGTTCAGACCACTTCATACAGGTTTAAAAACTGGTTCAAATATTGGGGTGCCTGGGTGGCTCAGTTGGTTAAGCATCCAACTCTTGGTTTTGGCTCAGGTCATGATCTCAGGGTCATGAGATTGAGCCTATGTTGGGCTCCACGCTGGGCATGGAGTCTGCTTAAGATTCTCTCTCTCCCCCTCCCTTTGCCCCTCCTCTGCTCACTCACACTCTCTCGCTCTCAAAACAAACAAATAAATAAAAAACTGGTTCAAATATTTATAACATTGATAGTGAAAAATGGTTATTATCCATATAAATATATCTTTATGAGGATATATCTCTATGAGCACATTCCTAGATTTAGATTTAATGTCAAAGCAAAGACTGTATCAATTATACTCCCATCAATAATGTATGGAGAGTACCACAGCAATATCTGATATTGTGAATGTTAAAAAATATTTTAACCATCTGATACGCAGAATGTGTCCACAAAAAAATAAAAAAGATCTCTGTATTTCAGTTGACAGTTCCCTGATTATAATTAGTTTAGCTTTAAAAAAAGTATTTATCAACTATTTCTATTTTATTTTCTGTGAACAACCTAGTTACCTAGTCACAGTCTTTGATAATTTTTAATTGGATTACCTTTTCCTTATTAATTAATTATTGGAGCTCTATAAACATGTCAATTAACCTTTTATCTGTCAAGAATGTTACAAACATCTTTCACTATCAATTGCTTGTCTTTTAAATAGTTGATGTTGTTTTATAGAAGTTTTGGGGGGTTTTTTTGTTTTCTTGTCTTTTTGTTTTTTTGTATTCAGATACTTCAGTCTTTTCCCCTATGGCTTCTGGATTTTGGGTTATGCTTAAGAGGGCCTTTCCTACCCTAAAATTAAGACAAACAAACAAAAAACCTACTTTGTTCTAGTTCTTTTGTGTGTGTGTATGTGTGTGTGTGAGTGTGATTTAGAGATTTCATCCATCTGGAAGTTATTTTAGTGACTATGTAGAGTGGAAATCAGTTGAACAAATGTATTGCTACAAGTCCGTACCTATTGACTTTTAAATTCCACAGTTATTCTGATATATATACATTTTACATGGATTCCTGAATTTTAGTATTTTTTTGAGGAAAACTTCAGAGTTATAATTCACTTTTTCGGGAGAGTAAACTAAGCCCTTCAAATGTTGTTTAACTACTATTCTAGAATTGCTGTACAGCTAGATCAGAGAGTATTTGGTCACTTCCTCTGCATAAAATGACTTAGCAGTATAGCTATTGAGAGGTCTCATTTGATAATATAAATCTTTCTAGAATTGTCTTCAGTGCTTGATGCGTCAGTAAAATGTGCATTTAGTTTAATGTAAGTCTTTACATCCACTTTGAGTTTTAATCTACATTATGTTATTTAAAAACTATTGTGAAAAAGAACAGTTTCTCAATGTAGCATTTCAAAGTCCAAAGCACCGTTAAAATAAAATGTAATGTATGGTGATTAGCATAACATAATAATAAAAAAAAAGTAAAAAAAATAAAACCATGCTTTTTTTTTTTTTTTTTTTTAGCAAGTTCTTGCCTGTGACAGTGTGTTTGCCAACATGGCCCCCAAAAAGAAGACTGTCAGAAAGAGCAAAGGAGATATCAATGAGATGACCATAATCGTAGAAGATAGCCCCCTAAACAAACTAAATACTTTGAATGGGCTCCTAGAGGGAGGCAATGGCCTTAGCTGTATTTCTTCTGAATTAACAGATGCTTCTTATGGCCCCAACCTCTTGGAAGGCTTAAGTAAAATGAGGCAGGAGAACTTCCTTTGCGACCTAGTTATTGGCACCAAAACAAAGTCCTTTGACGTTCACAAGTCAGTGATGGCTTCGTGCAGTGAATACTTTTACAACATCCTAAAAAAAGACCCATCTACCCAAAGGGTGGATCTCAATGATATCTCACCGCTGGGCCTGGCTACTGTCATCGCATACGCCTACACCGGAAAGCTGACGCTCTCTTTGTATACAATAGGAAGCATTATTTCTGCTGCTGTCTATCTTCAGATCCATACCCTTGTAAAGATGTGCAGTGATTTTCTGATCCGAGAGATGAGTGTTGAGAATTGCATGTACATTGCTAACATTGCTGAAACATACTCCCTGAAAAATGCAAAAGCAGCAGCCCAAAAATTTATCCGGGATAACTTCCTTGAATTTGCAGAATCAGATCAGTTTCTGAAACTTACATTTGAGCAAATTAATGAACTTCTTATAGATGATGACTTACAGTTGCCTTCTGAAATAGTAGCATTCCAGATTGCAATGAAATGGTTAGAATTTGACCAAAAGAGAGTGAAATACGCTGCAGATCTTCTGAGCAATATCCGCTTTGGTACCATCTCAGCACAAGACCTGGTCAATTATGTTCAGTCTGTACCAAGAATGATGCAAGATGCTGATTGTCACAAACTTCTTGTAGATGCTATGAATTACCACTTACTTCCATATCATCAAAACACATTGCAGTCTAGGCGCACGAGAATCCGCGGGGGCTGTCGAGTCCTTGTCACTGTTGGGGGACGTCCAGGCCTTACTGAGAAGTCCCTTAGTAGAGACATCCTGTACAGAGACCCTGAAAATGGATGGAGCAAGCTGACAGAAATGCCAGCCAAGAGTTTTAATCAGTGTGTGGCTGTGATGGACGGGTTTCTTTATGTGGCCGGTGGTGAAGACCAGAATGATGCAAGAAATCAAGCCAAGCATGCAGTCAGCAATTTTTGCAGGTATTTGATCCTTTATTAGGAACTGAAATGGTTCAATATTATGAGGAAATTGCTCTGACATAGAAGTAAATGAGTCCTGCCTGTTAGCTTAGTTCATTGGCTCAGTAAATCAATAATAATAATAATGCCACATTTCATATATACAACAGTACACATTACATGAAGTATATGCTTATATAAAATGCACTCTATATTTCTGAATAAGCCTATGAAATGAGCCAGGAAGATGTGGTTATTCTGATTTTACATGTGAGAAATCTGATACCTAGACAAGTTGTACCACAAGTGAGTGGTACACATTCTCTCATTTATAGTAAGGTGCCCTTCACAGTACACTGTTTTTCTGAAAAGAAACTGGATACAGATTTAGTTTTTAACACTAAGTGGTAAGAAAGGTCAAAATAATACAAAATTTCTTTTAAGTGACTGTTACTAATGACTGTCAGATTCATAATTGGCAAATACAATGAGATCATTAAAAATGTGGCAGGTAATTAGTTCTAAATATTTTTTGAAGACTGAATACTATAAAAAATGTCAGTATCTTTGATGCATGTAGAAACAGTAAAGGTATAATATATCCTTCAGAAAATGGAATTCAAATGCCATGTTGTTTTTGTATATTTATAATAAAAAACACTCTCATATATATGAAATGTCAGGAAGTCATGCTTATATCATGGTAGAAATACAAAGTCGAACATAACTAATTAGCAAGATCTGAAAATTTATAAAGTATATCATGAAAATATTCTTTATTATTTCATTATATGTCTGTGTGTCATTTAAATGAATCCAAACGATTAACTTATTTTTGCCCTTTAATTTATAAGTATAGTTAAGTTTTGATTTGGAAGTTAAATGGGAGAAAAATGAACATCAAACTAATGCAGGGAGGTCTGTGTTTACAATACTTTGGAACTATGTGAACAGTTAAAACAGTTTTTCTATGACTGCTTATTTTCCTCCTGCTGATAACTCTGTTAAGTATTCAAGTAACTGTTTTTGCAGTATTGATTTCAGTGGTTATGGTATAATAACTGTAATATAGAACACTGAAAATATATATCTCTAAGCTAAAAAATCTTACCTACTAATAAGTGCTAGAAAATAGAGAAATATCAAATTAAGCCTCTGATGATGCTTTTGGACACGAGTTCCATTGATCTCATTCTAAACAGAAGACTTGGTTGAGTGACTTAGCTTTACTGGTGCAGTGATCAGGTCAGGTGTATCCATGAGAACATGTTTGCGAGACATGGAGAAATCCAATTAGCCAACTCCTATCTTAATTAAGCAGTAAGAACGAGCCAGGAATGGCTGGTGTCTGAAGATGTGTGGAACTGACTTAAATGTGGCAGTGTTCCCTTTCTGATTGCCACGAATACCCAGCTTCCACCGCCTCCCCACAAGCGCATCTCATAAGCCCTCCCCGATGATGGACGGTGTGGAGTATAGAAGAAGAGGGACTGACAGTTTGGTCTCTGTGGGGACTTCTCCAAGAGGCCCGATAAAGGGAGTGGTTTTATTTTTTTTAAAGATTTTATTTATTTATTTATTTGAGAGAGAGAAGGAGAGAGAAAAACAGCATGAGAGGGGATAGGGTCAGAGCGAGAAGCAGGCTCCCCGCTGAGCCGGGAGCCCGACGTGGGACTCGATCCCAGGACTCCGGGATCGTGACCTGAGCTGAAGGCAGTCGCTTAACCAACTGAGCCACCCAGGCGCCCAAAGCCAGTGGTTTCATAAACGGGACTAGGGGGAGTCACAATGCCCGTCTTGTCTTTATCAAGTGTCACACTTACTCACTGGCTGAGAAACAAACACCGGCCTCCAGGTGCGGAGCTGCGCTCTGTGCGTAGCGTAGCCTCCTTGCATCAAGAGGGTCACAATTTCCACGCCATGGTTTGTGGAGTCACGTGGGTTCCCTGGCTGCCGCCAACAAGGCTGTCACACTTGCTCTGCCATTTTCAGATACGATCCGCGCTTCAACACCTGGATACACCTGGCCAACATGAACCAGAAGCGCACGCACTTCAGCCTGAGCGTGTTCAACGGGCTCCTTTACGCCGTGGGCGGCCGCAATACCGAGGGCAGCCTGGCCTCGCTCGAGTGCTACGTGCCCTCCACCAATCAGTGGCAGCCCAAGACGCCCCTGGAGGTGGCGCGCTGCTGCCACGCCAGCGCGGTCACCGACGGCCGCGTGCTGGTGACCGGCGGGTACATCGGCAGCGCGTACTCGCGCTCCGTGTGCGCGTACGACCCGACCGGCGACTCGTGGCAGGAGCTGCCGGGCCTGAGCACGCCCCGAGGCTGGCACTGCGCGGTCACGCTGGGCGACAGGGTGTACGTGATGGGGGGCAGCCAGCTGGGGCCGCGCGGGGAGCGCGTGGACGTGCTGACGGTGGAGTGCTACAGCCCGGCCACCGGCCAGTGGAGCTACGCGGCGCCGCTGCTGGTGGGCGTGAGCACGGCGGGCGCCTCGGCGCTGCACGGCCGCGCCTACCTGCTGGGGGGCTGGAACGAGGGCGAGAAGAAGTACAAGAAGTGCATCCAGTGCTTCAGCCCGGAGCTCAACGAGTGGACCGAGGACGACGAGTTGCCCGAGGCCACCGTGGGCGTGTCCTGCTGCACCCTCTCGATGCCCAACAGCGTGACCCGGGAATCCCGAGCCAGCTCGGTGTCCTCGGTGCCAGTCAGTATCTGAACCCAGGTAGATGCGGGGACGCAGGAAGGGCGAATAGGCGTTCGTGGGTTACCTTTCGGTTAGCGAAAAGGAAAATATATAACATTTACTACAGTGATTGTATCTTACACTATATCGAGGCGTATGTCTTGGTAGTTTTAAATTCCTGGTGTGGCGGGCGTAATCTACCTCTGTGTCTTTTATTTTATTTATTTTCTTTTTTTTTTAAAGCCGAATACAGGGCCCTGGCCAACAAAGAAAAGAAAGCATTTATTTCAGCGGCCACTGGGTGGCAGACAGAATTCGTTGTAGGCACTCTTCCACCGGGGCATGTTCCCTTCATGGATAGCGGTTACACCCACATTTGAGATTTTTCTTCTACCCTTTAGTACACATGAGGCTTATGTGAGTAAGCAGTTTCATGCCTGAAAATTTATCTTCTTCTCTCGTCTTTTTCTTTAGGAAGTTAAAAGTATTTATTTATAGCTTTTATTTTAAAATGGAAGTCCATCTATATCCGTAAAGACTTAATTCTACATTTAAATGCAGTTTCTTTTTCCATACATGAGAGTAAAGAATATTGAAAGGCGTCCCATGATAGTCATAAAGCTTAAAACAAAGTTTGACTGGAAAGTAACAGGGATTCCGCCCTGGGACTGTCACACTGATCCCTCTGGTTTATCCCTTATTCTCTTCCTCTGTGCCTCAGTCCCCATGGTATTTGCTATGAAAAAAACTGCTCTCAAAGAAGGAACTACTAGTCATTTAGCTTATGGTGTAAATTTAGGTCATTTTGTTGTTTCTCCTAGAAGTATCTGCACTTTAACCTTTGTCCCCTATTAAAGGAATTGTGAGTATCATGGGAGCCTTACTCTGATCCTAAAAACGACACCAAGATGCAACCTTGACCCTAATATAAGCCCCAAGAAGAACACCAAATAAGACTATGGCCATAAGGACCATTAACTTAAAGCTTATATAGCCCAAAGGTTATGCATCTGATGCCAATAATTTGATTTTCCCCCATTTTTTATATGGATGAGAATGAAGAGAACATTTGGAATTCTTGGGTTTGGCAATAACAGGATAAACGGCTTTTCCTGTTAGTAAATGTCACTGTTTCCAATTTCATAGCAATCCTCCTGATTTCTTAATTAAAACTCTAACACATTCATTTCACATGGAAATATCAATGCCCATTCTGTTCTATATGTTTTAACGTCATCTGCTCCAAATTAGCTTTGCAAATGAAAGTGTATCCACCTGATATCATTTTTCTTATATATTTGCCAAGTTTTGGAGCAAGGGAATGATTGTAGTAAATGATACATATTTTCCTTTCTTAAAATTTATCACTTTATTCTTTGGTGGTTTATTTGTTTTGGAGACGTGGCCTATCAATTATGGGTATGTGCAATTGGGTTTTGAAAAATAAAACTATTTAAATGGTTAACCATGAGATATGTGGAAATCTAACTGGGTTTTCATTAATCCCATTTCTCCTACCTTGTGTAGATAGGTTATTGCTAGAGTTACAATATTTATATTTAAAATATCTTATTTGAACTGTGAAAAGTGGTTCATATAGTACACTTTGTGGAACAATTTTGTATCATTGCCCCTCATGAAAAGTTCAATCTCTGCGTATTTAATGGTACCACTTGGTAAAGCGTACAACACTGTAAGCTGAGAACAAGGCATTATTAATGTAAAAACACTGGGCTGTTTCCTCCCACACACACAGAACATTCGGAGCTTCTCCAAGTAGGGAGCAGATCTAACGGCACCTACTCCCTTGACTCCTTCTCTGTCCACACTGGAAAATTAAGCTGTCTGAGAAAGTAGTTCATGGAGCAAGTTAAATCATTGAGCCCCTTGAGCTATCACTGTACGAACTATACATAACTTTTGTCCTTGCAGCATCATTGGTAAAATAAACTTTTCATGTTTAACAAATTATTTTGGCCACAACTGACAAAACCTATGTGAGGGTGACTATGACATCTTTTAGTTTGGTATAAATGTATATTCTTGTACAATTGAGCAGCCTGTAGTATGTTATAAATTTTGAGAGAAAAAAAGGTGATTTATTACGGATCACAGGTCATAAGTGGGCATAATCCCTGATGTACACTAGTAGATGTGTCTCCCACTGAGATCCTAGGGGTTTTGTGAAGTGGAGGGCCTAAGGCTTGGAATGAAATAGGAATCAATCAGTTGTAATATTTTATCTTGGAAGAATGAGGAGAGATTGAAACTAGAGGATTTTTCAGCCTTCAGAGCTTGGTAAGAGGTTGTACACAGACTTGGCAGTGGCTTTCTAGACATAAGACTGAAGACATGTTAGAGCTGAATAAATCATTTGAAATGACCATGTAACGTATTTTTGACATGGTTTATCTGAAGACTCTGAAAACACACCCGTCTGGGCTTATCAGGTTTCTGGGTGCATTGCTGTTCTATCTTCTGTTTCAACAGTTAGGTCAATAAATAAAGACCGTATGAATTTCGAATACTGGAATTTCTGGCATAGCAAATTGGTAGGGAGCATGGAACATAAGGATGGGTGAAGGTGTTACATCCTGGGACATCCCTCCCTGACAACTGAAAGACATGGAGGTCTATAGAATCAAAATAATGTGTTGGGGCCATCGCTCCTAGAAAATGTGACAGTTTGTCCATGTTTCCCAGCTGGAAAACGACTTCATTTTTAATGTGTTTTAAGCTTACATTCAGCTACACTCCCAGCCTCAGGATCCAACCCTGGACCTCCTTTTATTTTTCTTAAAAAAAAAAAAAAAAGACGTATTATTTTTGTAATCGCAAAGTCCTGCAATTAAATAAAAGCATCAGTTCGGTCCATCAGAGGAGTAGCAGGTTACCCAGCAGCTGAAATGATAAGCTCTCTTTTTCTGAATGGGCCAGAGACCTGATGTGCAAGTCTCGAGGAAGCAAGACTTTAATGTAGTCTGTCTGCTTTTAGTTAGACTCTTGGTGCTCCGCTGTTATCCCTGACGCACTAGTTGCCTTCAGTGGCATTGGATGAGTTTTATGTTTACTTCCTCTGGTGTAAGACTGGCTTAGGATAGAAAGTCAGTGATGGTACAGATTAACATAATTCTAATCAATGGTAGTGGGGTGTTACGAGTGAAGAGGTGTAATTGGGGAAAGAAGGAAGTGAGAAAGTACTGAATGGTTCTGATTTAAGGCAGAGTAGCAATTATAATACGTGTATTTTACAAACATGCATGTAACTAGAGGCTTCCCTGGAAATACGTAAGTGTTAAAAGGTCAATTTTTTGCTGGTTATCTTGGCCAAATATCTTCAGAAATCGATGCAAGATACTAGATAAAAGAAACTAGAATCACTTCGTTTAATTTTTTCCCTGAGTTACAAAGAAACACGTTTATGTAATCTTCTTTGAAGGACTCTTCTGCATTCTTTTCTGAATGAATGTTCTCTGAATGAGCTCTGTCCTCATCCGAGCCACTGATGAATACGTTCTCTAGCACAAGGCAGCATTACAAGGAATTATTTTTCAGTATGTCTCTTCATAGCAGTAGAAACTACAGCACAATTACCTAAACACTTCTCCTTGGTAATTATAAGAATTAAAGAATCTAAAACATTAAAGATTTACCCTGCAGCACATTCAGAGGGTAAAGACCATCAAAATTACCCTCCCAGAGAATTTGAGATAAAATACTTGTCTTGGACACTCCTTAAAAAACAAAAGCAAAAACAAAAACGAAAAAAACCTTTGCATTTATTCAGCAAATTCTGGCAAAACAAATTCTTTGCTTAAAACATTCTGGTATTATATAAGGAACAATAAACTAAAATGTATGTGGTATCTGTATCCTCATCACTATCAATAAAGCTGTATTCAGTAAGAGCTTAGTCAATGATCAAATGTGGGTAGTTTTGAAGTGTCCTTTGTGTGAGGATTGGGGTGTTTGGTTTTTTCCTCTAGTTAGTTTTCATGATGATTCACCTCAACAAAACACAACAACAACAAAAGAAATGACAAATAATTGAAGAGCTGTTCCAATAGCTTGCAGACTAGTAAAAGAAAAATGTATAAAACATCAATAATGACTTGCTTGTAGCTCAGACAAAGGCCTACATTTGGTCTATCTCAGCCCTGACCACTTAGAAATCATAGATTAAGTGTGGTGGTTTCTAGCCTCCTTCTCACCCTGACCACAGCCAGTCCGGCACGGATTTGGGTTCGTCATCATTTTCAATGAAACTACATTTTAGGAAATGAAATTGTATTGCTGCCCCAGCAAACCCTCACAGCCCTACTCTTCCACCTTGCCTTCCAAATGAGCAAAGGAAATGTAACCAACATAAGATGCTCAATCTTTGATCTGATCTAGTAGTTAAAGAATAACACTCAGTTGAGGCGGTCATTTCTAGAAAATTCTAAATGGCAGCAATTACTTGTTCTTAAACTTCTCCAAGCTTTGTAACTTTGTGATGAATTATTCTTTATACCAATGCCAATCTTCCACTCAGTTTCAGACCAGACATGTTCCTTAAAGAGTGGTGAGGAAGGGAGGCACTTTTCCCCAACGTTTGAACAAATACAGTAGCCTCTGGTTATATGGCTTATTTTCTTATCCCTTTCAGAGAAACACCTTTTAAAGTCAGGCTGATTCGTCTTGGAGAAATGACCATTCAGATTTTGCCTCAATATTCAGTCAGAGCTATAGAAGCAATGTTCAAAAAAGACCTTTTTTTTTTTTTAAGATTTTATTTATTTATTTGTCAGAGAAAGAGAGAGAGCAGGAACACAAGCAGGGGGAGCTGCAGGCAGAGGGAGAAGCAGGCTCCCCACTGAGCAAGAAGCCTGATGTGGGACTAGATCCCAGGACCTTGGGATCATGACCCAAGCTGAAGGCAGATGCTTAACCGACTGAGCCACCCAGGCGTCCCCAAAAAACACCTTTTAAAATTACTATTTCTCTCACCCAGATGGGGTGATATGTCAAAATGGAAGAAACAAGACTATGATTTTGTAACAAACATTTCTCTGTACCCCAGCCCCACCTCCACCATTGCAACATGTACCCACAGGAGGGAAGTGTCCTGTGATATGAATGGAGGACTTAACGTCTTTGTGTCTGGCTGTTTTTGCTTTGTGCTCACATTTAGGTTATCACCATAGGCTCTGCATTCAGAAATTCTTTTTCCATCTTGGAGACATCACTACCATCAATTAGAGGGGGAAACTGAGCAGGATGCATTTTTAGTAAGCCAGGTATGAAGCGACCCATGTCAATTCTGCCTATATCACTTTGGCCAGAAATAGGCATATGGCTATACCTCCATGCAAGGGAGCTGGAGGAAAAGACTTCAAGTGAGTCCAAGAGGAAGAAAGGATTTCATATAGCATCATCTCTGCACATTGAGTGATTACATTTTCGAAACCACTGCTCCCATCTTCCTTCCTGGTTGCCCATGGAGCAAAGAGCTTCCTAGGCAAACTGCCTCCCCTCAACCTCTGGATCTGCCTTCTCCTCTTTCCCTTTCCTGGCTCATAAGACTTGCACTCAACTCCTCTAGTGTATCTTGCCTTTTCCCTTCTGAAGGATAAGCCCAGACAACTCTTGCAGCCTTTTCTCAATTCAGGCCTCTTACAGGTCTACAGCATACATTAAATGTATTTGGTAAGCCTTGAGTGTTGGTATAAATCTGGTTCCCACAAACCATCAGGGGAATCTGTCCAGTATCAGAATCACCCCCTCATCCCTCCCTCCTTGGGTCTCCCTGTCCCTCTACTTCTAGAATACTCTAAACTCTTCTTGTTTTTTACCTCTTCTAAAACAATATTGACTATAAATCATACATCTGTGACTAAATTCCTCTCATTCCAGCCATAGGAGGAGGTTCCCAATGCACGATGGTCTGTGAGAACAGACACGTTGTGGAGAGTCTAAAAAGAGGAAAATGCAAGGATCTATTCTTAATCACCATAAGAAGAGAGGATTCCTTGGAGAGAGAGAGAAGGGAAATGAAATGGCTGTAAGCTGACCCCCAAGTCTTCTTCCCTAACCATTTTTTTTCTTCCCAAACCTTTATGCAACCTTTCCATTTGTTGCAGAGTCCCAAGTTGAGAAGTGTTTTATTCTATCACAGTTTTGCATAACAAAGGAAATATGTATGCAAAAAGAATTCTTTCCTTGTGTAGCAAATGTTCATTGAACATAACCATGTACCAAGCACACTGTTGGAATACCGTCGTGAAAAGGTGCTGTGTTTCCCCAGGGCAAGTGAAGAACCAGAATTCCCAGCACACTCACGTTCAGGCAGAGCCAACCCAACAAAGTGCAATTACATTCACAGGTATTTACTTCTTGCCAAGTTTTGTGCTCTCTAGTGCGGAAGAGAAAGATAAGCCCAACTTACCACCTGCGCTCAGCTTAGTGGTAAAACTTTTTCTAATTGACTCCATTTGGAGTTTATTCTTTTGTTTTCCAACCCCATGCATCTGATCCTGCTCGGTCTTTCTCTGCCCTGCTCTGTGCTCTAGGAGGCTGACCCCCAGGGACTGCATCCTGTGGACTCAGACCCTCTGGTCCATAGGTTGTATTTACCCAGTGGAAGACCTCAGGAGAAAGTAGAGGGCAGAGGAGAGTGCTTGGGGCATTTCTTTCCTGTCCTCTCTGGGCTTCAGCACTGTGCCCAGGCCAAGCCAGCAACTCTGCAACTTCAGCTCCTACTGGGCAGGCCCTCCCCCCGCCCCACTCACCTCACCACCCTGGGATCAGGACCTGAGCCAAAGGCAGATGCTTAACCCACTGAGCCACCCAGGGGCCCCATTTCTTTAAATACTTCTTGAGGGCAGCCATGTTCCTGGCCACATGGAGGAACCTGAAACGTTTGGAGCCTACCCATTGACACCCAGAGAACTTCTTCCAATTCAGGAATAAGAGATAGAAGGAGGGACCCTGGGGAGCAGGGCACTTGCAGCCCAAACCCTGGCATCCTTCAGAACCCCCAGTCCCACCTCCATCAGTGGTTCTCTCATTTCTCTCAAGGTTAATGATACTGGGACAAGGCAGAGTCCTGGGTGATACACAGTAAGGCTCTGGGCCTGAGTTGACCAGAGATACTAGAAGAGTGAGATGTTGTATTAAAAAGATAAAAAGTGGCAAATTTGGCGGAAAGGGGAATTTGCCTGTTGTTCTTCGGAGACACAACATGGAGGCACACTTCTGAAGGTGATGTGGGGGACTGCAGACCAACCCTGCGCAACCTTGGGAGTCATGCTCTGATGCTTGCAGGGCCATTGGAAGAGAGTCTCCCCATGGAATGCTTGCACTGAATGGGGACAGACTGGCTCCAGCAAAAATCCATGAAATATGAAGACATGTCAGCTCCCCCTTGATTTTTCCTGAATTTTTCCAGTTGAAATCCAGCTCAGTAAGTTAGTACCTTTGGTAAAGCCCTCTGCCCCTGCCTGCACTCACCAAACACAAAAGAGAGAGGGAGCCTTCAGGGGTGGGAGGTCCCTGTGATCTCCGTGGGCAGACCAGAGTTCTGGGCTGCAGAAGGAAACGTTAAATCAGAAGAGTGAGCCTCCCCCAGGGATGGGGGTATGTGAGCGCTCTACTGCGGTGTGCGCCCCCATTAAGCCCTGACATGTGGGGACTGGGGTCTGGAGCAGCACTGATTTGATGCCTCCCGGGTTTGCTGCTGGGATTTTGCTGTAGGTTTGCAGGTAGAGCCGAGAGAGAGGCCAGTGCTCACAGGCTGGTCTTCTCTGGCTGCATCAGCCTTTTCCATTCTGCACCCACCTTGCCGCACCCCCCCTTCCTCCCCGCGGTGCACCATACAAACAATTTGCTTGGGCAGAGCAAAGTTAGATAGCACTGTTGTACAAAACCTGGCCTCCCCCTCTCCCTGTCCCACTAGTGGTCTGTCCTGGATGCAGGCAGGGGTTTGGGTCAGAGGCGGAACAGTCTGCGGGGTTCTGCGCCAGTAGCCGTGGCTCATAGGACACCGGCAACCAGAGGTGGCGCTGCAGCACCCTTTGGAGGGCGGAGGGCCTGCCGACTGGCCCAACAATGACCTTCCAGCAGTCCTGAGTAGCTGTCGGGAAGCTGGAAACAATGCCCAATTCTCCCTGGGTCTCCTGGTGATTCTGGTATTTGCTTTTTTTTTTTTTTTAGGGTTCTTTTTTTTTTAATTTTATTATGTTATGTTAGTCACCATACAGTACATCATTAGTTTTTGATGTGGTGATCCACGATCCATTGTTTTCATATAACACCCAGTGCTCCATGCA